GAAAAAATTGGGCACTTTTTTTAATCCTCACCTAAGGACATGCTTAGAGAAGGTAAGGAAGGGAGAGGGAGAGAAACATCGATTGGCTGACTCCTACACGCGCCCTGACAACACCTGCAACCCAAGCTACACCAGTTAGGCCGGGCAGTTTCTTAGAAGTTATATATAAGCTCATAAGATCCACATTTAGTAAGACACGGACTCTCTTGCAGGAAGGGGTTGAAGAAATGGGTGAAAAAGGTGAAAGAGTTTAAGAACAAATTGTTGGTTATAGCGTCATGGGGTTATAATACAGCATACAGAATATAGTCAATAATATTGCAATAACTATGTAGTCATATATGTACTAGACTCAACTGGGGTGATCACTTTGTGAGGCATATAAATGTCTAATCACTATTTTGTACACCAGAAACTAATATATTTTATATCAACTGTAATTGAAAAACAAATTTAAAAAATAAAGATACCATCCCTGACCAGTGTGGCTAGGTTGGTTGGAGCATCATCCCATACACAAAAGATTGCAGATTTAATTCCGAGTCAGGGTACATACTTAGGTTGTGGATTTGATTAAAAAAAAAAAAAAAAAAAAAAAAACAAAGATACTCACTATTAGGTATCTGCCCAAGGGTAATGAAAACATATGTTCACACAAATAGTTATACATAAATATTCACAGCAGCATTTTTGTTTTAAAAGTACAATTACTGCATTGTATAAATTTATAATCATATATTCTTGAATAAGTAATAATAAAGTATACGATTATAATGCAACTGTCCATAGAGAGCTGGCATGTCTCCATCATAATATTGTAAACATATTTTCTACCCTGCCAGCCTCCTCATCCCAAAGCCCCTTTTTAATTGATAGTTTATAGTACCTGATTCTTGCTTTATTGGTTATACCATCAACTCTTGAGTTTATCTTCTTGTAAGCTTGTCCAGTGACTTATAAGACATTCTTTATTGTACTTTTCCTCCCCATCTGACCAGCACTAGGTAGGTAATCTGCTTGATGGACCTCTGCCATCCCCTAAAGGAAAGTAATCTTGCCATAGTCAATCTGCTTTTTGGCCTAGTCTAATTTTCTTGTTCCTGCTCCCTAATGCCTATGAAAGTTTTCATTTTGTACAACTCTTTGCAGTTCCTTTCTTTTCACTACTGAATTCCACCAAATACTTATTTATACTTCTTATTCCCCCTCAATTTTTTCCACACATACCCTCTACCCTCACTTCCCTCTGGCAACCATCAATTTGTTCTGTTTTTTTGCCTATTTTGTTTTGTTTGTTCATTTGTTTTGCTTTTTAGATTCCACATACAAATGAGATCACTGGTATTTGTCTTTCTTTATCTGATTTATTTCACTTAGCATAGTACCCTCTAGGTCCATCCATGTTGTCACAAATGGCAAAATTTCATTCTTTTCAATACACTATTCCATTGTGTGTGTGTGTGTGTAGATAGATAGATAGATAGATAGATAGATAGATAGATAGATAGATAGATAGATTTATATATATTTCTCACATCTTCTTTATCCATTCATCAGTGAACACCTAGGTTGCTTCCACATCTTGGTTATTGTAAACAATGCTGCAATAAACACAGGGGTGCATATATCTTTTCAAATTGGTGTTTTCATTTTCTTCAGATATATTACCAGAAATGGAACTGCCAGGTCATATAGTAGTTCTACTTTTTAAGTTTTTGAGGAATCTCCATACTGTATTCCATAGTGACTACTCTAGTTTACAATTGCACCAATAGCGCATGAGGGTTCCCTTTTTTTCAAATCATTGCCAACACTTATTATTTGTTGAATTCTTAATAATTCAACAGCCTTTCTGAGGTGTAAAGTGTTATCTCATTGTAGTTTTGATTTGCACTTTCCTGAAAATTATTATATCCATATATAGAATATTATTCATCAATAAAAAGGAATGAACCACAGATACATAGTACTTGAATCTCAACAAACATGTGAAGAGAGATGCAAAAAGACGAAGAGAGCTGACAGTGGTTGCTTTCAGCTAGGCGGGCATTGACTGCAAACAGGCACGGGGACACCTTTTTGGAAGGAAAGGTTCTGAAACTGGGTTGTGGCGATGGTTACACAACTCTATAAATTTATTAAAAATCATTGAACTGCATGCTTACAATGGATTCATTTTTTTATGATTTGTACTGGGTTGGCCAAAAAAATTAGTCTAATTTATCCCGTAAATTAAAAGACACATTTTTCATTGTCACCAATAACGTTATTGACTTGGATATTTTAAGTATGTCAGCTATCTCTTGTGTGTTATAATGTTGATTTTTCTCAATTAATATATTGATTTGATCGCTATCAACTTCAACTGGTCTACAGACCATGGAGTATTGTCCAGTGAGAAATCTCCAGCACAAAACTTTGCAAACCACCTTTTTTTAAAAAGATTCTATTTATTTTTAGAGAGAGGGGAAGGGAGGGAGAAAGAGAGGGAGAAAAATATCGATGTGTAAGAGATATACCAATCTGTTGCCTCTCAAGCACCCTGAGCTGGGGACCCAGCCTGCAATCCAGGCATCAACTGGGAATCGAACCAGCAACCTTTTGGTTTGTAGGCTGACACTCAATTCACTGAGCCACACCAGCCCAGGCACAAACCACTTTTGACAGGTTCAGTCAGTCACAGCATCTTCTCCATACACTGTACAAATCTTTTTTTGGGTTTCAGTTGTGTTTTTACCTTTCTTGAAATAATGAAGCATAATATGCGGAAAATGTTGCATACTTTCTTCCATCTTCAATATTAAAATGGCTATACAAAAATTTACCAATTTGCTAAGTTTTTTTTAATATGCAAGCTGATATGACAGCTATCACAATACAATCTAACAAAATTGTTTTGAATGAAGTTAAAGACAACTACGCACTACTAGAGCCATCTTATGGGAAAAAAAGCAAGCCAACTTTTGGGCCAACTTAAAAAATTATACTTCAATAACGCTGTTTTCTTTTTTTAAGATTTATTTAATTTTAGAAAGGGGAAGTGAGGGAGAAAGAAAGGGAGAGAAGCGTCAGTGTGTTATTGCCTGTCCAGTGCCCCCTACTAGGGATCTGGCCCACAACCTAAGCATGTGCCCTGACTGGGAATCAAACCAGTGACCCTTTGGTTCACAGTCCAGGCCAGATTTATATATATTTCTCAAATCTTCTGTGGCTCAATCCACTGAGTCACACCAGCCAGGACCTCAATAAAGCTGTTTAAAAAAAAATGTCAAGATCATGGAGGACAAAGAAAAACTGAGGAACTGCCCAGATTGAAGGAGATTAAAGAGATATGATAACTAATGACAGTACTTCATACTGGACTGGATCCTAACCAGTAAAGGAAAAAAAACTACAGTGAGCTTTATTAGGATCATTTGATTAAATCTGAATAAGGACCATGGATGAGAATAATATTGATGAATCAATGTGAAGTTTCCTGATTTTTATTATTATACCCTGATTTTACAAGAGAATGTCCTTTCTTAGGAAACACACAATGAAGGTATTAAGAGCTACAGGAGGCACAATCTCCAGTTTACTTTCAAATGTTTCAGAAAAATATAATATGCAAATATGTACATATGGAGAGAGAATGATAGAGCAAATGGGCAGAATGTATATAACTAATGAGTCTGGGTAATGGACATATGGGAATGCCTCATACTATTTTTGCAAGTTTTCCATAACACTTGAAATAATATCAAAATAAGGTTACGAAAAATAATAAAAATAACAGTAAAGGCAGGAAAAAGTGGGTGGAGGTGTAGATATGACAAGCAGCACTAGCAAGCAATTAATTAAGCAATGTGGATCTTAAAGCCACTAAACCCTAGCCCCTGAGTAGGGGGAGAAACCCAACTGCCCCAGATGAGTTAGACTAAATGATATTCTAAAATCGGCAGTTTACTGGCACTTCTCTTAGGGCTACTCTCTTTTCTTTGTTTCTAACACAGGCATGACTTCCAGACCCGGGGCCAAAGCAGACCTTCCAGGCCTAAGCTGTTGTAGCCAAGTCACCCAAAAGACTATTTCTCCCCAGAGGGCTATCCCTGGAGCTCAAGTTTAAAGACTAAAAAGTAGGTTTTAGATCTACAAAGTGGCTTCTCAACTAACACAAGTGTTCCCACAACTAGCAGAGTATCTTACACAAAATAAACACACATTTTTCTGACTGATCACAAAGAGCAGCAGCCAAGGATAAAAACTCTCGTAAGTCTGCAAGCCAGGGGATGACAAGAACAGCTGCCCTGATTATAAACAATGTCTGCCTGTCTCCTTCCTTCCTTCTCCCTCTTCCTCCCTTCCCTGGAAATGCTGATCTGTCCCTTTTCTCAAGTTTCCAACTGGCAGTATCTCTCTCCCTCTTCCCAATCTCCCTTACCACCTCTCTCACAGTATACTTCCTACTTCAAAAATCGCATTTATTTTTTGTTTCTTTTCACTTCTTTCTCTTTAATTTCATCTGTGTAAACAGAAAGATACCTGAAGTGATGTTCACCAAATATTTCTGAATGGTAGGATGTGGGGTATTTATTTCTTTTTTGTGTTATAGCTTGAACTTTGTATAATGATCTTGTTGTGTTTTAACCAAAAAATAAAAAACACCTCATTTTTTAAATTCCTAATTCTAGCAAATCAGTTCATTTGAATTTTAATGTTCTCTCATCCTTGCTTTTGAAAAAATATATACATTTAAACAATTTTCCCTTATGAATGATTTTGAATTTCGTTTTCCCCTGAGTGGCCCTTTATAGGGGGGAAAAAAAAACCCTCCCCACATACTCTCTCTCACTTTTCATCCATCCTTCATGCCACCCCGGTGACACAGGAGAAGCCACAGAACAGACACAATGGAGCAGAGAACAACGAGATATAGGAAAGCTCTGATCAGGACACAGCTTAGAGAATTAAGCCCTGTACTTTTTTTACTTTCTATTCTCTATTGTCAGGTTTCTCACCAGAAAGATGTCTGCATAGCCAGCCAAAGACTCCACTCCCTCTTGGATCCGTGCTCCCCCAGAGTCATTCAGTCCAATCACTGGAGCCCCCACTGTCATGGCCTGGTCCATGATCTGAGACAGCAGAGAAATCTTGTGAGACAACTGATCCTGTTATCAACAACAGCATTTACAAAGCACCAGTGTTTTTTGGACAATGTTCTGAGAGCACTTTTCAAAAACAGATAACACTGGCTTTATTCCCCATGATGACTGGGGAGAACCAGATACTTAAACAGCTAATTAAAGACCCCCAGACATCCAAGAGCCAAAGCACTTCCCGTGAGCAGGAGATATGACTGCTCATGGCAACCATTTCCAGAGCCACAGGCCCCAGCTGTAGTCATATGCCACAGAATGACATTTTAGACAATGATGGCCCACATATACAACAGTGGTCCCATACAGGTATCATGGAGCTGAAAAATTCTTATTGCCTAGTGATGTCATTGCTGTCGTAATTTCATAGCACAACGCATTGCTCACATGTTTGTGGTGATGCTGGTGTAATCAAACCTACTCAGCTGCCAGTCCTATGAAAGTATAGCACATACAGTACATAATACTTAATAATGAATGTGTCACCGACTTATGTATTTACTAAACTGCACTTATTATTTTAGAATGTCCTATTTTTCAAAAAGTTTGCTATAAAAGAGCATGCTGTGTTACACCAGCAGCAGCCTCATACGTATATCTTGTGCTTACCATGTCTCTGGATTGTATTATTTTCTCTCATGTTGTTTTTTATGGTAACATGCTGTGCAGACTTGTAGCCTGGGGTCAACAGGCTATACCAATAGTCTAGGTGTACAAATCTAGTAGGCTATGCCATCTAGATTTGTACACTCTGATGTTCTCACGACGACAAAATCGCCAATGTATTTCTCAGTACATATCCCCGTTGTTAAGCAGCATGTGACTATAATGTCTTTTGAGCAGCCAGTTTTGTTCCTTCTTACTCTTTCAAAAGAACGGATAGTAGACAGAATGGCGAAGAAGTATTTTCATGAAAGTAAATATGGACCCATCTGTTAACCTGAGGCCAGGCCCAGGCCTGCTTTTACTTCTAAGATGGATTTTCCTCATGGGTCAATAGTTGACAGCCTAATGAGCAATATTCTAATGGCCCTTGCCAGTTTACAAAGCACTTTCACTTCCATTATCTCATTTAACAATCATAACAGAAGCAGTAATGGAGAAAAATTAGAAGGTTTAAAAGTTAAGTGATTGGCTCAAGGTCTCAGGAATAATAAATGACATGACCATGTCAAAAATCCAGGTGTTTCATTACACAGGAAAGCCCCGTGTTGCTACTAAAAGTCAACCCTACTTTAACTCCAAAATCCTCCAACTATGATCTATACTTTTATTCATATGCTAGAGAGCATCTCATCTCTAGCAGTGTTATTAAAATACCATCACGTAACCCTTTCATTGCTCTTTATCTTTTCGCACCTAGACTCCCCACCAAGGCCATGGGTTCTTTACCCCAAGGCATTTGTGAACAGATTTTTAGGGACTCCATGAACTTGGATGGGAGAAAAAAATGTCCATCTTTATCTTTATTAACCCGATCTTTAGCTTTTCCTTCAATTACAAACACAGGCAATAAATAAATAAATAACCCACATAAGTGTTAGATATACCTGTGACTGTCACTAACAGTAGCCATAGATATTTCTGTGTCACATTAAAGTTGTTGCAAATATCTTGAAATGTAATCTTCATGCATGCCTATTTGAAATTATAGCACTTTGGATCCACTGCCAAGCCCTGTTATTTAATGCATTAATAAAGGAACACATGTATTACAAATATAATTTTTCCAAATATGTTTAATCTTTGTAGGCCTACCTATTTTATTTTAAGCATGTTAAAAAAAAAAAAAAAATACATGAGAGTCCAGGCTTCACCAGCCTGCCAAAGAAATCTATAGTACAAAAATGTTAAAAACTCCTGGACTGAAGGCACCACGTTTTGCACACCTCTGCCCCATCCTACATACTCAGCTCAGTGTCTTTCACCCCACAGATACCCAACATGCATTATTTAACTGAGGAAAGTACTGAGTTTGTTGTTACAATTAAATACTTACTTTGCAGATCTTTTGAGCATGTGCTCCTGACAGACTGCCTCCAAAAACTGTAAAATCCTAAAAAGAAAAAAAAAATCAACAAATAAAATATACTGACTAGCCAGAGATGAAGAGCCAGTAGGAGGAGGAAATAGAAAATTCACAGACAGCCCTGGCTGGGTAGCTCAGTTAATTAGAGCTAAGGATGCAGGTTCCATCCCAGGTGAGGGCATGAACAAGAATCAACCAATGAATGCATAAATAAGTGGAACAACAAATTGACGTTTCTCTCTCTCTTTCTCTCTGTCTCTCTTCCTCTCTCTCTGAAATCAATAAATAAAAATTTTTTAAAAATTCATAAAGTTTTCAAAGTATTTTCAGAAGTTAAAAAAAATTAAGTCTGATTTTATAAATTAGTCCACAGAATATGAATATCTTAAAGGAAGTTCATGTATTATCAAGAGCAGAAGGCCTAGTCTTTGCTCTACAAAAATAATTTATAGCTCAGCAGGAAAGTCAGATTCTATGGATGTAAAACAGTCGGGCATTTCTATTACTGAGAAACATTTGCTGCTTTGACAAAGATGAAAAGTAAATCAAAGCCCTCACTGCTTCCTCTTGCTTATGGAGTTTCATTACCTTCTGATGTGAAGGCTTCTTGTAGAAATTACCTCCTTCCTAAACCATCCCTCCTGGTCTCCCCCTTTCTGCGCCCCCCCACCCCGAACCCAAGCAAAGACAGTGGGGAATTGAAAACTTTCAGCACAGGAGGGCAAAACAGGGGACAGGAAACAACAGCAGAAGAGAAACTGAACAAATTTAAGGAGAATTGAAAGCACAAGGATATCCGACATGAAGAAACAGAAACCTATACACCTGCAGAGTAATCACAAGGAAAAGACAATCCAGAAACCCTGAAAAGTGAAGGGGGAGAAAAACAAATTAATACAAAGTCTGTGTGAGGAGCAGTTAGATCCCAAAGCCTTCTCCTTCACTTTGAGAGGAGAAAGTTTTATTTTCTAAAGAAACGTAACCAGAGGGGTTCTGGACTCACAATCACCAGTAGCAAATGAAGGCAAATGTGAAGCTAAAAACAAGTGAAATCAGGAGCCTGTACACTAAATCCACAATGGCCCCTTCTTTCCCCCCCGCCCCCGCCCCGCAAAACACACCAACAGCCAATTATCAGGCAAGAGACTGAAGCTGCTTCTCTGGAAAAACATGAGCTCCCCAGAAAAAAATGCCTACCGATATTAACATTTTGGGGATCACTACTAAAAAGCTGGCTCATCACTCTCCGCCCTCATTTTCTTTTAGGGCTCATTTCAAATGCCCCATTTTCCCTAAAACTTTTCTCAATCCTAGATGTGAGCTTCCCTTGTCCTGAGCCCACAGCACCTGCCCAGAACCTTCTCACCCTATCTGTAATCACTTCTGTCCTGGCCCACTCCATCTACAGAATGATTAGCTTGTTTAGGGCAAGAACTCTGTCTCAGTCATCACCACTCACCCCCCAACCCCTCCTTACTTCATGGGCATAAGAGGTGCTCAAAAGTATTAACTCGATAAATTTTTGCATCGACTTAATAGTTAGGAGAACACTGCCTCCACAATGCACAACTTCCTTTATTCCAGCTATCATTAATAGTTCCTTGTGGCACTGGCTGGTGTGGCTCAGTTGATAAGTCCCCTGTCAGGGCACATGCCTAGATTGTGGGTTCAATTCCTGGTTGGGGCATGTATGGAAGACAGCCAGTCGATGTTTCTCTTTCTCTTTCTCTCTCCCTCTCTCCTCTCTCCCTCTCTCTCCCTCTCTCTCTCTCCCCCTCCCCAATCAATAACCAAATGTTTTTAAAAATAGTTCCTTCTATACAAGTTTTTGCTTAGTTCTCAAATTACAAACACACACACACACACACACACACACACACACACACACACAGACATGATTCCGTCTAGTTAAGCATTTGGTAGACCCATTTAAAACAGCTTTAAAACATTTCAAAGGTCACTCAATTAATAAATAACCATTGTCTAACAATACATTTAAAATTAGCCAAGCATAATTATTTTACTATCAAACCCAGAAAGTATTTTAGTTTCCTACACAAGTTCTATAACTTTAAGTCTAATACTTATAATTATATATATACTTCTACCTCTCAGAAGAGGAAAATGTCACACACAAAAATAGCAACGACGTTGTGTTAGTTTTCTGTTGCTACTGTAACAAATTACCATAAATTCAGTGGCTTCAGAGAGACTACATAAACTGATTATCTTACAGTTCTGTAATTTAACAGTACTACATGGGTCTCACTAGGTTAAAATCAAGGCTAGCAGGGCTATGCTCCTTTCTGGAGGCTCCAAGGAATACTCTGTTTCCTTGCCGTTTCCAGCTTTCAGAGATCTTCATTCCTTCGTTCATGACCCCCCCTCCTCCATCCTCTAAGCCAGGAACGGCAGGTCAAATCATTCTCACATCAAGTCCTTCTCACATCTGCTCTGCCTTTCTCTTCCACTTTCAAAGACCCTTGTGATCACATTATGCCCAACTGGATAACCCAGGCTACTCTATTTTATTTATTTTAATCCTCACCAAGGATATGGTTTTTTTTTTAATTGACTTTAGAGAGAGAGTAAAGTGGAGAGAGAAAAACATCTGTCGGTTGACTCCTGTACATGCTCCTCCACCCCAGGGAACCTGCAACCTAGGTATGTACCCTGACCGGGAACTGAATCCACAATCTTTCGATGCACGAGATGATGCATCGAACCAAGCCGCCCAGTCAGAGCCATGTTACTCTATTTTAAGGTCAGCTGATTTGCAACATTAATTCCATGGGCAAGCTTTAATTCCTCTTCGTCATGTAAGGTAATGTATTCACAGGTTTCAGGGATTAGGACTTGGACATCTTTGGGGTCCATTGCTCTGCCAACTACATTCTTCTATGATCTTAGTGTGAAGAAACTATTTACTTTGAGTCAGCCTGATAAAACATGCTTGAACACTTTCATGAAAGCCCAAGACTCAGGGCCCGTGGTTCTGAGTCAAATACCCTCCGCTTAGGCTGCATCAAGGTCTCTCAGATCCATACACCCCACCCAGGACATAGCTGCCCTCCAGGCACACAACCAACCTGCCAAGACTAACATGATAACTTCCCTGTATTCCTCCCCTAAACAGACTAGGGATTTTGTCTCCCTAAGAAAAAACAAAACATATATTATGATACTGTGGACATATGCACTGGAAAAGAGATAGTAAATCCCTCATCTGCCCCAAACTACATGCAAGCTTTCATTCCCTCAGACTATTTTCTTCTCACATATTTTGCTCCTGGCTCTGCCCTCGAGAAAAGGTCTACCTACTGGAGTTATGAAATACCTGACTGAAGACATAAACCAATCTTCCGTTGATTCGGCCCCGTCCAGTGACAACACTGTCTCCAGGAAACTACCAGAAAAATAAAATAATTTTTTAAAAAAAGGTTAAAATACACAAACGTTTCTTTTAATAAATTTAGCAATTATACCCCAGTGAAAGATGCCCCCCCCCCAAACCACCACAACTTCTTTAAAGTTCAATATGAATTTGGAACACAAAGAAATCTCCTTTCCCCGCTCAGGTCTGCAACAGCAAACACTAGGCTACTACTTTGAAAGAAATGAACAGTGCTGTAGTCTTGGGCCTCATCCTCCTTCCTGAAAGCTAAATGATTAAGAGACCCTCTAAGGTCGTTATTACCAAATGCTCACAGGAACGAGAAGGACATATTAAAAAACACAGCATCTTCTACAAAGCCCCCACACCCTACCCACAATCCTTAAAAAGGCAAACCCATCATTTTGCCTGGAATCTGAGCAATCATTGTGTTGTCCATAATGGCCCAAATGGAGCCAGCTGGTTTGGTGCCAAGTTTACAAATCCTTGGTCACAAACAGCATATAGATATACCTGAAAAAAACTGACCACAGTGAGTCCAAAGAACATTGTGCACTCATGGAGAACACCCACTTGAAGGAGGAAGGATCAGTGACTCTGACCTCAAAAAATCCAAGGCATAAACTTAAAGTGTGTCAAAGAGACACAAGTGGTCAGCCTTTAGGGGTCTGCCTAGACAGACCAGAACTCGACTAAAAGACTTTCTCACCTTTCCTTCCAAGTTTGTCATTTTATACCTGCGAGAACTCTGAACCCACAACCAGAGCCCTGGGAATTGAGCCAGAACCACACTGCACAAGGTATGAGCAGTCCACTCAGTCCTTCATCTGCAGACAAAGGTGAGTGAAAGCCACAGTAGTGCCTCTCCAGAGGCACTCTGGCATTCCAGGGCCCCAAACATGAAGATTTTTCAATATATCCTGAGTCTCAGAAGGATTTCATTAGTCTAGTGGGTAGGCCAGCAGGGCCATAGCAGGAAAAGTACAACTTGGAGGCTCACAAGACCATTGTGAACAGATACCTTATTCTTGTCGGCAGCCATTCCAAAATCTGCACATCTGTGTTCTACAAACATGTCGCTCTCAATAAAACTGTCAGGGTCCAGCAAGAGACTGATCCGCTCTCTGGCCAATAGCTTTCCCTAAAATGCAAAAAAAAAAAAAAAAAAAAAATCATTCAGTGATGTCATCACAAAGTCAGCAAGCAAGGAGTGCTCATAGGAGGGCCAGGAGAACTGGTTTTGCACCTTCACCTCATGTGAAAGCCTCTATTTCATCAATCTGTCCAAGCGACAGGTGTAATCAGTAAACTTCGCCTAATTAGAAAATCAGAGTAGACAGGGTACTCCAGGAGCCACCAACTGTGGAAGGCAAATAAGTAAGTAGAAGGCAGAAAAGGTGGAAAAGAGAAGTAGGGGTAAGGAGAGCCTGACCCTGGAACAAGAAAATTAGTTCCACAAACATTTACCATAAAGCTAAAGAGCAATAATAAAAAGAACGGAGAAACAGGAGGTGAAAAACTTAAGCAGGCTTAATGAAGGGCTGGAGGCTACACCTCCAGATTCACAGGCTTCCTCTGGGAACTCCACAGAAACTCACATCACTAGAGTCCAGTCCCAAGGACACTTGCAGGACTACTTCCTTGTTCCTCTCCTGCCTTCTTTACAGGCTTCTCCCTACTAATCTACTTTAGGGGCCCTGTTTAGGGACTCTACTCCTGACAGTGATGCTACATAGGTAGACAATTTCACAGCAGGGAGTGGCTAAGAAGAAAGGGAATGGGACAGAGAGTGCTAAAGAACTCACTTGAGCCCTGACCAGGTGGTTCAGCTGGTTGCAGTGTTAACCCACACACCAAAAGTTTGCAGGTTCGATTCCCGGTCAAGGGCACACACCTATGTTGCAGGTTCATCCCCAGTCAGGGTACATTAGGGAGGCAACTGATCAATGTTTCTCTCTCTCCTTCCCTCCCTCTCTCTAAAATCAATAAGCATAATCCTCAGGTGAAGATAAAAAAAAAAAGAACTCACTTGAGAGGAATTAAAAAAAAATGCCTCTTAGAGAGGGTGAGGTTGGAGCCCTAAACCTAGCAACGGCCTCTATTGCTTAGGCTCCCAAGCCTTTAGACCAAACCCAATATCGAGGTCCACCGTCCCCCTCTCCTCCAAAAACACCTCAGATTGGCTATATTTTTTTTTTCCCTTGAGAAAGTAGCCAAAGCCAGTGAGGTCAAGTTAAAATGGGCAATCCTACACACTGTTGTGTAAAGTAGAAGTTTTGGGGAAAGCAATTTGGCAATACACAGATAAGTGTTAAAATATTCACCTTTTGACCCAGTAATTCCATTTCTGGGAATCTATCCTAGGAAAGTAGTCCAAAAATTGTTTAAAATGGGGTGAAGTGGGAATTTAAATCAAATAGGCCTCCTGACAAAGTCTGGAAGCTGCATCTAAACTCAGTAGACTCTGCCTACTGGGAAGGATAGATGATGTTCCAGGGAGACATTGAGCAAGGGCACCAACCAGAGCACTGACTGGGCCTTTCCAGAGGATGATCTAAAATTTCTTCACCCCAGACAGAGCCTCCTCTGGGTGCAGAGGAGGGAGGGAAAGCACTCCTGGCACCACCCACTATCAACCTAATTTACACCTCATTCCCCAAAGTCAAAAAGAAATTGTCACCTCTAAGCCTTTGTCAAATGGGAATTTTACAACATCTAAATCAACATTCAATTTAGACTTAAAGCGCTGGTTCAAATCTCCTCACTGAAGATCCCAGCCTTTCACCCTAGTCACCTCCCCCACACTTGTGAGTTGTGCCTCAGTGCCTTTCACCTTTAAGAATTTCACTTCTGCACTTCCCAGGTTGGTTATTTAACTCATCCAGCAAATCGGTCCAGACTGACATATGCCACGGACCAGTAAGCGAGTCTAGTTTCAAGTCCCAGGTAACCAACCCATTTGGGTCTCTGTTTCCTCTACTGCTAAATGGCCCACGCAGCATATCTCCGTAGGCGGTGCGTCCAAACGCCTCAGCAGCTCACTCCAGCCAAACATACAAACTAACATAAACAGTCCCAGAAAAACCACTGGCTTTGGACTCGTGCCTTCCCTAACAGGCAGGTGGATGCACGCTGAGACCCCGCAAGGGTTTAGCTGGTGTTCTGGGGCAGAGTTCCACAAGTTCCCTGCAGGCACCACACCCCCCCACCCCAGATTAATATGAGAGTTTGCCTATGTTACGCCCCCTACCATAATGCCTTGACTTTACTGCTTCCGTAGAGAGCAAGAACCATTCCTTCATGGGGCGTAAGTATGTTAAAAAATTAAATGCCTATCATTGCTTCACTACCTCTATTCTAACAATGAGATTGTGAGGGGAGAATTATCTTCTGTTTAGAATAAACTGACTCCTAAAGATTAGTAACTTGTCTAAAAGTTTATAGTTGTTAAGTGGTGAGCCAGCTGGAACCCAGCGAGGTCCGCCTAAAATTTCCTAAAGTAAAGCACAAACTGATAAAGCACAACCGTTCTTATCTTCTTGTTACCGGCCTTTGGGGGAAAGGCTACAAGTTCTCAAGGTGAACATTCTCGCCTCCGCCCCTCCCCAGCTTTGTGAGGATTGGTCGGGAGGCCTCGGGCGCCTCGAGCCGGGCACGCTGTGATAGGTGGCGAACAGTGGGCGGGATGGCTTCGGTGCCCTCTGGACTTACTCGCTTGTGCTGGGCATCAATGCGGCGCTGGCCCCCTCCCATCAGTGCGGCACGGCGCTTGTCTTCTACGCGCTGGTTAATGGAGACTGGCTGGCTGCATAAGCTGCGGGCCGCGACACGGAGATCGCTCACCACAACGCTGAGCCTTGCTCCGGCCCCCGCAACGCGCATGGCCGCCGCCATATTTGCTTTGCCAGCACCTCCCCGACCAGACTACCTGAGTACGCAAGTGCGTCAAACGTGGACGCAGCGAGGTCTGCGCCTGCGCAACTTCAGGAGGGACGCAGGAAGTCTGTGGGCTGGAATGCAGAGTGTGTTTGAGAGGAAAGCCTTTGAGTTTCAGATTCTAGTCTGCCCTACAGAGTCACCCAGAGAATTGGGAGTGGTCCCCCAGATCTTGTACCCTCTTTGCTACACACAAAAGATGACTATGGTCTTTGCTATTCTCTGCCTCCAGTTTTCTCATCCCACTTGCTCCAGAAAATAAGTAGATAATTAATTGAACGCTGGACCAGGTATGGCTTTAAGCGGTTACTTGCATTAGCTAATTGTCCTGATTTCACAGATGAGGTAAATGAAATATAGAGAGGAAGAGTGATTTGATCAAGGCTAAAGATGTGGAGGAGCCAGAATTCAAATACACATGTATGAGTCACTCACTGAGCACAGGGCTCTTAACCTCCAATAAGTGGCTCTCAAATTGTGGGCCCAACAGTTTCAGCGTTACCCGGAGGGAGTTGGAAACGCAAATTTTCAAATTCTCAGACTCCGCACCAGACCTATTGAATTGGAAGTTCTGGGGGTGTAGCCAGCAATTTGTTTCAGGAGGTGACCTCTAGGTGATTTCGATGCTTTCCAGAGTTTGACAATCACTTCTCAGGGGATTTAGAATTGAACTCTTGGGAGCTTGGCCATATGTTTCCCCAACAAACAGGCAGGTCTTTAAGACAAAGAACAAATAATGTAATTCACATTTTCAGCCACAGAAAACTGCTAAAGTTGATCATTAACCCCTCTGAACTCCAGCTCATAGCCATGGCCTTCATGAAGTCTAAACATTTGGCCTAGGACCTCGATGTTAATGCAATTACATTCAGCAAACATTTTTTTGAGCACCTACTATGTGCCAAGAACTAACCACCAGTATTTATTATGCTTCCTGGACTAGGAATCATTCACCTATCTAATTTAGGGAAACCAAGGGTCCAAAGCCTGGAGTCATGTTGCTGGACAAAGCCCACCTGCATCTGCCTGATTCCATAGTGGGTACTCTTGGCTCTGCATTTGAGTCCCTGCTTAAGGAAAGGGCCTGGCCTAGTAGCACGGGACAGAATTTGGGCAATGCTGGATATGTCAAGAAGAGTATCTCTGAGAAGGTAACTGCATGCCAGGGAATACAAACAGTGTGAGCAAGGACCTGGCATGTTCTGATTCACACAGACACAGTTGTATCCCCAGCCTCTGGAGGAATGGTGGTAAATGAGACTGGAGAGAAATAGTGGAGTTAGATTGTGAAGAATTGTACCATATTCAGAAATTGGATCCTGTTCGGGCCTGGGGGCAATGGGACTCTTTTGTCCTAAAGTGCTTTGTTGACCCTCTCCTATGGCACATCTCACACCATGTTAAGATTATTTAGGCCAAGGGGCTATTGCTTACCCTCAGGCTGATGCCACTTGGAGGGAAATGCTTTCTGAGAAAGATGGCTTCTGCAGTATGGAGAATAATTCAGCATAGGGATCCTGGTATTTTTTCCTTCAGTTCTCTCCTCAGAGCCATCAGCCACAGACTATCCTCAAGCATCTCTAGTCCACTCTGTCCTCCCTCTGCCAGAGCCCAGGGTAGAGATGAAGGCTTCCTCCTCCTGCAACTGAGTGTGGCCTCCCCAGAAGACCTCACTGACCACAGAGTGGCAAAGAGACTGATGCACCAGCTCCACTGTGAAATGCACGCCCACATGCCTCCCACCCAAGTCTCCCTGCTGCGTGTCAGGAGGGCCTAAAGAGCATCAGCTGCAGCCAGGCATGGCCATATGCCAAGAGGAGGGCTGTGCTGCTTATGGCCTGGGACCCGCAGCAGACTGAAGCCCATTACTATACCAAGATGTTCCTGGAAGGTTCCCATGAATGTCAGCTGGCCTAAACCTTAACCCCAAACATGGCAGTGGGACCCTGGCTCACATATGCCTGAGTTGCATGGGGAGTGGGACTTCCTCTGTTCCATATGTCCTTGGACTTACCTTGCATATAGATTGTCTTTTAGTAAAGAGTGACCTGATCACCCATCTGTCATTGACCATATGCTTCCATCTTACAATAAAATGACACTCAGTGTGGGGGGTGGGGAGATTGTTTAGCTCTCTCCCCAGGTAGATTCCCAAGCTAGGGGTCAGGGACCATGGCTGGCTTACTCACCACTGTGGCCCCTCCACCTGGAACAAGTCCCAACACATAGGAGACCTTCAGAATGTATTTGTAGAATTGAATTGAGCTAGCAAATATGCAATTGCATGTGGCTCTGGAGGTTTTCTGCTACAACTATGTGTCCTCTTCTACACCTATGATACTTTGTTCAGGTATCGTCTCCTCTAGGCAGTCTATCCTGATCCCCTCTCTGCCTAGATGAGGGTAAGTGTTGGTTCCTCAGGGGAAAAAGGATTTTTTTCTTTTTTAACTTTGAATAACCAGTGCATAGCAGAAAGCCCAACACAGGAGAGATCTATAAAGGACTATTCAAATGAACTTAGTGTTCCCTCTATCTAGTTCACTCTACCTGCCCTTCTTCTTCCCCATCCTGCCATTTTTCCTCCTCACTGTCCTAATGCCCTACCAATGGGTACCCCATACATAGTTCTATAATATTATTCCTGTCACCTCATATGCAAGTCCCAGCCTGGAGTGTGTGGTTAGCAGAAGGTTGAATTACCCAGTAATGGCACTCTAGAATCTCATGCTCTGGGATGTTTTGCTGTTCGTAGGCCCTCTTGCTGGATTGTTGTGTTTGAGTTTTTCACCATTTTGAGACAGGAGTCACACTGATCTGGCAATTCTACCCTAGTCAGTGACCTCTGTCAAAAAGAAGGGGTGCAATGGAAGGAAGAAGTAAATTTGGGAGAGTATGTTGGTCTGGGTCTTCTGAGAAGCTACCAAGAGGGGAATTAAAAATGAAAGAAATCAATTGGGGAACCACCTGGGAAAGTCTGGAAACACTAAGATTACAATGCAAGTCTGATCCCCAGTCAAGGAGAGAAGGAAGGAAGTAAGGTGTGGCAGCTTCATAGACTTCTGTGCAGGCTGAAGGAAAGTTCGGCAAACTTATCAAGAAGTCTTGGACCCACAGTGTGTATGCTCCTGCTTAGCTGAGAGCAGCCCTTGAGTGGTGTGACCTTAGTGAAAATTTAGAATTTCAGAGCAACAGATGGGACTCTTAGGCAATTACACTTAGTGCAGTTCAAGCGTCTTCTTTCCAAGAGTGTTGGGTGGTTAGGAGTAAAGTGTGTGAGATAAAGGAAGTAACTGCCATCCATGTGAGGAGAAAGGATTTTTAAGATACTTCTTGTCCAATCTGAGTGTTTTATTTTAAAAGCTGAAGGAAAAAAGATGAAGTATTGTAAATTCACTCTTGTGTGCGTGTGTGCGTGCGCGCACGCATGCTGGACTGTGTTTCTCTGACTATGCGATTGAGTCACAAAAACCCTGACTTAAATTCCAGTTAAAATTGTTATTAAAACCTGGAACCCTGTATTCCTCCAACTACACATTTTCCAAGCCATCTTGGAAAATCCTCATCTTTTCTGACTTTGTGTGTTCCTTCGGAAATGAGCAGGGCTGGCCTGTCCCTTTATTTTAAAAAAGCATTTATTAAAGCATTTTAAAAAAATGCTTTTTAGGCATTTCCAGACCATTCTTCCACCATTGCTGGGCTGCTCTTCCTTTGAAGTTTTTGCCATCTTTTGTTACCACCCTTTAAGCATTCCCTGACCTTTATAATCCACCTTCCTCTCACTTCTGAAATTAGGGTTGCTTTTTCTCCTTTTTCCCTGCTGTATTAGTCAGGGTTCTCCAGAGAAACAGAACCATTTGTATAGAAAGAGAGATTTATTATAGGAATTGACTCACATGGTAATGGAGACTGAGAAGTCCCATGATCCACTGTCTGCAAGCTGGAGAATTATGAAAGTCTGTGGTGTGATTCAGTCTAAATCCAAAGGTCTAAGAAAGAAGGCTAATGGGTTAATCTTGTAAGTTTGGATCTGAGCCCAAAAGCCCTAGAAGCAAGAGCATATATGTCCAAGGCCAGGATAAGATGGATATCACAGCTTAAGTAGAGAGAGGGAATTTGGCCTTCCTCTGCATTTTTGTTCTATTCCAGCCCTCAGTAGATTGATAATGTGACTTGCATCAGCGAGGGTGATCCTTTTTACCCTGCCTGCTAAATCAAATACTAAGACACCCTTCCAGAGACACCCTGACAGACATATCCAAAAATGTTTTACCAACTATCTGGGCATCTGTTAGCCCAACCAAGCTGACACAAAATCAACCATCACATCTGCCTCCCACCACCATTCTCAGAGAGTCCATTCAGCTTTCATGCTGATATTCTGACTCCCTGGCCTCAGAATACTTCAGCTTCCTCAGCGGGAAGGACTTTCAACTCTGCTCCACTTCAACCACCCACAGGCTGGGCCTTGTAATCACTAAGAATTTCTCCATTTCCAGGAGCTGAAACCTGGTGGTTCTCTCTACCACCTCCCCTTCCACGCTTTTTCTTCATACTGCATCTGGTCCATGCCCTCCATATAAATTATCAGTTCCTTCCGTGTAAGCACTTAATCTCTGCCTACTCTAGCATTCTGGCCCTTCTAGACCCCATAATTTCCATCAATGTCTCCATGCTAAGGCGCAATCCTGGGTCACCCCTTCTTTTGGATCACTCCAATTCTGTTCGCAGACTACCCACAGTTGCTGGCAGAAGTCACAAAATCATACTAAAGTACTAGTATTAGTTTCCTAGAGCAATTATAACAAATTACCACAAAATTGTGCCTTAAAACAACAAAAATTTATTCTCTCAGTTCTGGAGGCCTGGAGTCCAATGGCAGAGCCATTCTCCTTTCAAAGTCTCTAGGGGAGAATCTTGCCCCTTCCAGCTTCTGACGCTTCCTGGTGTTCCATGGCACATGGCAGTATGACTTCAATCCATGCCTCAGTCTTCACGTGGCCTCTTCCCAGTGT